GGGGCTCCCCCAGGTACATTCGCCACAAGCCCCACAGCGTGGTGACATTGAAAAAAAAAAAAAAAATCGAAATGACCTACAAAATAGCAAAAGAAAATGCTTATTTTGACTGTTTGATTTTTTTTTTTTTTTTTAATTCAAAAAAAATATTACTCTTGAAAAAAAATTGAAAACATTATAGGGAGTTACCCTTCGATGTCCCCTACCCTCCTATAAAAAAAAAAAACATACCCCCCTAGCCAAAAAAAAAAACAAAACAATACCGCTCTCTGTGAACTCCATGAACTCCTGTGTTGTGAACTCCGTAAACTCTATGACCGGCTCCGTTCGCAGACCCCGTGAATGGTGAACGGGGGTACGGCACTGTGCTGGAGGACCTACAACACCAAGCAATGCTTTTAACTGCAGATCAAACACCATCAACAAAATTACTCTCCCCTCGACGCGTTTCGACCTGCGCGTAATACAGCTCTCTTCAGGAGGTCACCACAACCGCCGAATGCCAAGTGGAAAAGCAAGCCCTTCCACCTACTTTATAGTTCCAAGAACTGCGTCGTCATATATCTCTATCCCCCATCCCTTYCCCTATCCCTTTCTACCTCCCTCTCATCCTCACTCCCTTCATGACAGCCACAATCCCCAAACATCTGATCAAGTAGTGTTCGTCTTGTCGCCTTGCCCCGACGAGACATAGTGTACAAGCTGAGGAGTACACGCTCCGACATAGAAAGATAGTTGGCGTATCCTCACGGGTATGACGAGTAGTCCCACCTACTACCAAGTTATACCTTCTGTGTCTGCAGCTCGTGGCGAGAACCCAAAAACGCTAAAAAGGCTAAAAAAACTAAAAAAAAATCAAAATTGGTACCCCAAGGAACAGTCGTGCCAAAAAAACGGGCCCAAAACATTTCTAAGGTTCTGTCATACATCAAGAAGTTAAGGTACCTTCGGTGCCCAAAAAAATATTTATAACGGTTAGCCACTCCGTCCTCTGACAAAACAGCTCCTCCACGGGCCCAAATTTCAAAATTGCCTCGCGTGTTGTTTGCGAGAAATCCGGCAGTCACAAAAGTGACCCCCCMAAAAAACCCATTTTTAAACTTCTTTTTTTGTCCCTAATTCTTTGCAATGGGCGATTCCATACATGTGCTTATGGTGGGGGTAGACCTATGAGATCCAAGATCTTCAGGAACCACCCACCACCTTGGCAAACCTTGCCAAGGAACCGAAGAAGAAGAAGAAAAGGACAGATGTAGATGAATGGAAAAAAAAAAAAAAAAAAAA